CTCCTCTGTCCACGGGTCCACAGGTCCTGTCAGGAGCCTGCTCCAGCACGGGCTTCCCACAGGATCATAGCCTCCTTTGGGCATCCGCTTGCTCCAGCGTGGGGTCCTCCACGGGCTGCAGGTGGATATCTGCTCCACCGTTAACCTCCATGGGCTGCAGGGGGACAGCCTACCTCACCATGGTCTTCACCATGGGCTGCAGGGGAATCTCTGCTCTGGTGCCTGGAGCACCTCCTCCCCTTCCTTCTCCACTGACCTTGGTGTCTGCAGAGTTGTTTCTCTCACATATTCTCACTCCTCTCTCTGGCTGCACTTGTTGTTGCACAGTAACTTTGTCACCTTCTTAAAGATGTTATCACAGAGGTGCTACCACCGTCGCCGACTGGCTCGTCCTTGGCCAGTGGTGGGTCCATCTTGGAGTCAGCTGGAACTGGCTCTGTCAGACATGGGGGAAGCGTCTAGCAGCTTCTCACAGAAGCCACCCCTGTAGCCCCTCCTGCTACCAAAACCTTGCCTTGCAAACCCAATACAGTAACATAAAGGTGAAAAGCAGAGCATGAGCAGAGCTTACTCTGATATGAAACAAGCAAGGATAAAGGAAGCTGGGGAAGGGGATAATGTTCCCATTTATAATAATTCACCTGCTTTCCATGCACTCTCTGAAACACTGTAATGCCCACATGAGCCAGCCATCAGTGACTGAAGACATGGGAATCCCTGGTTCCCAGACTAGTTCTGCCCAATTCTGCCCAAAGCTTGTCCTATTATTGTCCCTTTAAAGAGAAAAAACAACCCACGCTGCTATGAGATAATACTGTTTGGATAACTACCTCTATGGTAGTGTTTATCCCTTTTTACTTACAGTTACGTAGGGGCTGGTTTCAGAGTCAAGATACAAGCCCCACAAAAATATTTTTTTTATAGTGTGGCTGTTCATCTGTCCTGATGACAAAGGTAAGAAAACTTGAAAGAAAACAGCTTGGAGGCCTTGAAATGAGGCAGGATGATAGCAGAAGACAGTAAGGTAGGACAAGTAAGATTTTTTTATAGCGGGCAGAAATATCTAGTAGTCATAGACATAGACAACATTCAACCTTATTATTTCTCATCCTATTCACTGTCAATACAGGGATTATTCCTTTAATCTTGAAAGCAACAATATAGATATTTGTCTTGTTTGACCTCTGCCTTCTCTAGGGGAATGGAGAAGGGCACAGAGTAGGTATGAGACCAACATGAGATGGCCACAGTATGGAGCAGATGAAAATCAGAGGTGTGTCCATTACAGCTGCATAGGGCAGTCATTTTTCAGGACAGAAGCGAGAGAGTATAACTTGAGAAACGTAGAAAGAGGTTTATGATAGGAGAAACTTGGGGAGAAATTGTTTGTGATTCATGTCTCAGTAAGGCCACGACAAACTTCAAAGAAATGAGAATGGAAGCAATGAAAGTTCTTCTGACTGTAATGAGAAACAAAGGCAAATGTTTACCTCCAAGTTAGCTGCAACAGCAGAAGCGGCAAAATGCAGAGTGGCTATTCTTCTAGGAGGAATATAAAGCCCAGTGCTTCTCCATGCTTCTGGACCTTAGAAAGAACCCCAGCCATTATCAAGAGAGAAACACATAAGTCATATGATAGTCTTCAAGTTACAGATGAAATTCAACAGCAGCTTCAATTCTAATTCTAATAAATTACTTTTCTGAAGCTTTCACCTTTGTGCTGAATCCTTCCCATTTGACCAACAGCTAATGCTGAAACTTTTTTGAAAAGTTTGAATTCTTAATGATTTATGAGGGAATTGAGAAAATGCAAGGAAATTTTAAACTAAACTATCAAGATAATCCTGCCCCACCCTCACGTCATAAAAATTAGTTCAGTTGGATAAACTTGATATCAAGGTGACCTTTCTGGTAAAATTTTATTAAAAAAAAAATGAACAAACATCGGAAGTGATGCTTGTTTCTGAAAAGAATGCAGGACAATCTCCAAAAGTGACTTGTGATTTTATATGTCCAACTAGAAACACTCCATAACAGTGTGGGATTTTTTTCTTTCCAGAGAAGCTCTCCTCAAGCAAGACAAAACACACAGCTCCATGCAATGACATCCTCAGGTGAAATGTCATTGCACCTGAATTTGCACCTGAATTTGACAAAGAGCAGTACTGGTACTTTACATTGACCAAATGTAATGTTAAATTGCTTCCTCTGGAAGCATTTATGGGCCATATGCCTGGACAGCTCCCATATTGCATAACGAAAAAATTCATTCATCATCTGACCAAAATTGTACCCAACAGAAGATCAAATGATCAATATGACAGCATCCATCATAAGACCGAGGTATTTCTGACTACATGGTGAGCATGCAATCCCAGAAGAAAGCTGGGACAGGAAGGAAGCAGAGAGATTTAGGCTATTATATTTATAGATTACTCTGGTCAGCCTCATTCCATTCCACAGTTTGGGTGCTGCTGAGGAAGGAAATAGAAAAATATCCCCTACTTTCATTTCTTCCATCAATCTGAACAGTTACAGTCGGGGATGTAGTCCTTTCTGGAAGATTTCGGTTGGGAGCACATATTTGTTTTCGTACATCAGGGAAGTTGTCACAGAACTCTGCAGCTATGTTGATTAAAACCATTTCCTCAGAGCTGCCTTTGACTGGGCTGTCAGCACTGACGTCAGGAACCCCCTGGGAAAGCACTAGCTCAGCCATCTCCTCCTGAACAGACCACATAGCTAGGGAGGTCTGAGCCAGAATCCTCAGGAACATTGTTGAGTCCTGTGCTAATTTCTTGAGCCAGGAGGAATATGGTGGCTTTAAAGCTTCTTTTTTCTTGAGGTTTTGCCAAAATTGGTAGAGTGCCTTGCAAAAGTGGTACTGTGAGAAAACCTCATCAGGATGTAAGACTGGCTGACTTGGTGCTAGTATGTTGGCATCTCCCAAGATACCAACTCCAAACTTGTGCAGTAGTTCGCTCCCAGGGAACCCAGCAATGGCATTCTCATCAGCATTCTCTGCAGGACCATGCCTGTCCTCCAACCAGCAGACCACCGCCCCTTGAAACAAACTTATGAATCTTCTCCACCTCCTCATCACTGTAGGCTTTGCAGCAGTACACGCTCAAGTTTTCCTTAAGATCTGTTAGCTTGCAAGGAATCTTCTCCTGGCTTAGAAGAGTGAAAAAGTCCTGCAGATCACCAGCAATACCAACTTGTCCTCCCTTCCCAGCATCAAGCCAACCAATGGCATTGAGGATAAAGGTTTTCATTGCTGATGCTTGGAAAAAGTTTTCATGAGTGAGTACCACAACATGGCCCCTGCCATAGTGTGCAGCTGCAAGGAATGCCTGGTGGGAGTCATTCATAGCAATGGGAAATGCTAATGCACCATAGATGAGTAGATGGGAGGGGACACTGCCATCTTCTATCTTGAATTTGGTCACTCCTTTCAAAAGAACTTCTAAATATTTTTTCGCATCCAATCCATGTCTGGAAAACCAAAAGAAATCCTCGTCATCCAGATTGATTTATAAATGCTGAAAGCTGTACTAATCTTTGCCCTGTTAGTAGTAATACAGTCATGACTTCCTATTAACACTCCTTGTTTCAAGAAGTTCTCAAGACAAATATATTAATCTCTATCAAAAGAGACTTGGAAGTTTACCCAACAGATATCACTGAAGTGGCAGCAATGTTAAAATTACAGGGATCACCAGCTTTCCTTAAGCATGGTATAAATTGAATTCCAGGCAAGAATGGTGCTGTGTGCTTGTGACTCATGTTAGCTTTTTCTGCAATGGGCTAAGATCTTACCACCCACAGAGGGTGGCTCTATCCTTCACAAGAAGAACTTATTGTCCTCAGGGCACAGAATCCATAAGAGATCAAGCAAGCACTTCCTAATCCTTTTCAGTGCAAAGGCAGACATGTACCTCAAAACGTTCTCAGCAATGGCTTCAACTAATCCAATTGATTTTGCTTTCAGGAAGTCTAGGGGCTCTGACACTCTTTCTTCTAACAGTTCAGCTTTAAGGTGGTGACCTCCAGTCATAGAGCAAATGGAAACCACATAGTAAAATGTTAAAACTGTGATAGTTGTTTGCAAAGTTGCACAGTCATCTGCTCTCTTGCTTGTCTCTTTACCACAGGCTTTAGTCTAAACTTTAGCCTCCGTTGCCTGCCTGCCTCTCCATCCTGAGATATAAGGGTAATTTTTTCTATTATCCTTGTCTGAACATAGCTCTGAGACAGAGATGAAGCTGTAATATATTCTTCCTTATGTAGCAGTATAAGGTCCAATAATAGAGCTTCAAATTCCCACCTTATTTGTGAGAAATTCCCTGAAGAATTATCATCACTTTCAGGGACTTGTGACAAGAAAGTGCCTTAAGTCTAATAGTCTAAGGTCACCCACCTAGTGGATGTAGTTTTTCTGTATTTTAGTAAGGCTTTTGATACTGTCCCTTGCAGCATCCTTCTGGACAAGTTGTCCAACTGTTAGATGAGCAGGTACATGGTGCGCTGAAGGGCAGGGCTCAAAGGGTTGTAGTGAATGGGGCTACACCTGGCTGGCGACCAGACACCAGCGGTGTCACTCAGGGCTCAGTTCTAGGGCCAGTTCTGCTCAATATTTTTATCAATTATCTGGATGCACCATTAGCAAGTTTGCTGTTGATACTAAACTGGGAGGTGCTGTTGACTCTCTGGAGGGACAAGAGGCCTTGCAGAGGGATCTAGATAGAT